ACCTATACTAACGGCGTGGCGCAGGCCAAATCTTTAGTTACCCGGTACGGCACACATGGGAATTCACGAATGAGCACCCGATACGAAGCGTCTTCCCCTTATGGCCCGTCTACGGCCTGCCCATGATGTTGCTGAGATGGCTGTGGATCGGTAACGGCAAGGACGGCGAGATCCCCCCAATCGCAGTCTTTTGGACCCTTCGCGTCCTCATGTTCGTCACCAGCTTCGTGCTGGAGGATTGGGCCATTCATGAGCTCATCAGCTCTCCACGACACCGTCGCGTTGCTGTGCTACTGGTCGCCTCGTCCTATGTCACATGGACGTACCAGACGCACACATTCTCCAACTCGGTGGAGTGTCTCGTCGTTGCTTGGTGCTTGGTCTTGATTCAGCGCATTGTCGAGAGCCCGGTAAGGACCCCCTGGGCACGATTTTGTGGGCACCAACATGTGAAAGCTAACTAACGATTGTGACAGCAACAATCATCGCTTCTTGCTTCTACGATTCTCGGCATAGTGGCCGTCTTTGGATTGTTTAATAGAATTACTTTCCCGGCGTTCTTGTTGATTCCGGGACTTCGCTTGATACCCCATTTTCTGAATAGGTACGTCCGTCTAGGCACCATGACATCAGGGGACCGCCCACTAACAACCCACCAGACCCATGTCCTTCGCCGTGATGGTGTTGGCAGCTTTTACAACTACCTTGGTCGCCATCACCCTGGATACGGCATTCTACCTCCCTGAACCCATCAAGTGGGCAGACCTCATCTCACGGCCAGTCATCACACCACTCAACAACCTCATGTACAACATCGACACAGACAACCTTGCGCAGCATGGGTTGCACCCCTGGTACCAGCACCTACTGGTCAACATTCCCATGCTGATCGGCCCAGCTGCGATGTTGCTCTTCACTCAGCCATACCTCTCATTACGACTCTACTCGGCCATCTCTGGTGTCTTTGTGCTGTCTATCTTCCAGCACCAGGAAGCACGATTCCTGCTGCCCACCGTCCCGCTCATCCTCTCATCAGTGCACCTTCCGAAGAATCGGACTGTCGTTCGCGTGTGGATCGGGGTGTGGCTTGCTTTCAACTTGATCTTTGGCATTCTCATGGGTGTCTACCATCAAGGCGGTATCGTGCCGGGCCAGGTATTCCTGAGCAAGCAGCCAGACGCGACGCAGGCCGTCTGGTGGAAGACCTATACGCCACCCATTTGGCTTCTTAACGGCAAGAATGAGGTCCTCACGACACGCGACGTGATGGGTATGAAGGGCGACACGCTCCTCGAGGAGCTGACCAAGTTGGCTACCTGCGACACGCCGGCGGATCGACGCAATTCGGAGTATTTGAAGGAGAAGAACGGGACATATCTGATCGCACCAGCATCAGCGACGTGGATAGACCCCTACCTTCCCAACAAGGGACTGAAAGGCCTACGATTCCGCGAGGTATGGCGTTACAGGCAACACTTGAACTTAGACGACCTCGACTTTGGAGACGACGGCATCTGGAACACCCTGACGAGGGTGATTGGCCGACGTGGCCTCGTCGCCTGGCGTGTGACGAAGAGTTGCAAGTGAGGGCGGGTTGTGGAGGAGACTCAAAAGCAATGAATGAAAAGATTTGAACGTTTTGATGATTGAAAAGCATTCGATCCTTCGAAAGCAAATGGTATCGTGACTATGTGATGTGGTCCTTTCTTTGTCCCTGTTTGTGACTAACACCCATAAATATCTCGAGCGCCGTACCGATGGCGCCAATTTTGATTTCATTACACAAGGCCTCTGTTTTTTGTGAGACCCTTTACATTCTTTAGGGAGCTCCCCCAGTTCCGATTCCATCCCATCATTTGTCTGCGAACAGCCTACAGCGCATACCAAGCGCTTCGTTAGACGCCAGACCTCGTCGAGTTCGCCGGCATTCATCCAGGAATATGCCGGGGGACCACCTGGCCCACATGGATCCGTTTGTGTCGTCTTTTGAGAAGGGTTAGGCACGATGGCGATGTGCCGTAACCCCCTAATATCATCAAGACGCAGCTAGACGGACGAGAACAACTGGACCAAACTCCTTGCCGAGCAATAGTCCTCACGCCGCCACGCTCGTCTTATTCACATCCACAGCGAAATACCAATTCCCCGAGACGTTCATCGTCCCCAGCTTGCTCTTCATCCAGCAGACGTGGTTGCCGTAGTAATCGCCCCACCCGGCCCCGACGCAGTCGTCGCCCTTTGACGCGCAGAGGTCGATGCAGGCGGCCATGGTGGTTGCGTTCTCCGAGGTGAGGTCGGTGGCGCCGTCGGCCGAGTTGAAGTCGTGGCCGCATATCATGCGGAATGTGCGTTTGGGGGCGTCGGGGGAGCTGTAGGTTACGTTGTCTGCGGCGGGGCAGGTGATTGTTGCGTTTGCGGTTGACGTTGCTGGTGTTGTTGTTGAGTTGCTGGTTTGGGGTATTAGTTTGGTGAGACTTTTGGGTACGTGGTTTTTGTTTGAGTGATATGGGATGAAATGGCAAAAGGGAGGGGGGGGGATGAGATGAAAAGGGGATGATTTGTGAAGAGACAAAAGTGTGAACGTACCCTGACGAAGACTTGTTCTCGCTCTTCTTCATCGCCAACCCTACCCCAAGACCGACGGCGATGGCGGCCACGACGAGGACGATAGCGACCCCCATGACGACGTAGCACACCTTCCTACGCATCCCACATACTGTGGCCTTCTTGCCCTTCCCGGAGCCATCCCCGTCGAGAGATCCGGACCCGTACCCCGGCGACCCGGGCGGCGGCTTGTGATACCCAGGCGGATGCTGCTGGCCCGCGGCGGCATAGTAATACGGCGCGGCGGAGGCGACGGACGGCGAGGACGAAACCTCGAGGTTGGGGTTCTGCTTGTGGTAGTGGTGCCACGATAAAGGGTCGTCCGCGACCTCGGGGAAGGTTGTGGTCTTGGCTTCCGAGTGGTTGTATGGGGAGACCTCGGGCAGGTGGATGTCGTTGTTTGTGCGGTTCCAGGCGTTTGGCTCGGCTACTTCGAGGCCGGATTCGTAGACCTGCTGGTTCTGGTACTGTGGGTTTGATGTTGCGGCGGGTGATGAGGTTGCCGCTGTGTTTGTGTTGTTTGTTGGGGCCGTCATTTTGAGAAACTTCTCGGATGCCCTTGGCCTTGGGCCCTCCATGGCCGATCTCCCCTTCTCCTCGAGAGAGAGGAGACTATTATGTGGGTTTTTGTTGTTCTGTGTCCCTCAGACTCTCTCTGTCTCCTCTTAGCTCCGTCCAGGCTCCAGCTTACTGCGCCTCCTTCTGCGTGTGAGATTCCCTCGCTCTTTTTTGCAAAATGTCTGCCTGAATCCCTCAGTCCGAGAGGTGCGTTCTCTTGGACGTCAAAGTGAAGGAACTTTGGTGAAACAAAACCCCATAGCTTGTTGTAAGTGATGTGTGTTCGCCAAGAGATATTCCCGTACGATGCGAATAGGTTAGAACCCCCCTTTTGTTTGCGGAGAAGACAACCGAGTCCAGCCAAGTGCGTGAGCCAGGGTATGTATTGTAGGATGGAAGTGTGGAAAGAAAGCGAAGAATGGAGATGGGAAAATAAGCAGGAAGAGCGAAAGGGGAGAAGCGTGAAGGGAAGAACGGGAGAGGGCTGCCGGCATACAAATTAAAACCCCAGGAGGAAGGCCAGAACAATGGAGGTAAGCACTGTAAGCAAGACCAAAAAAAGCAAAAAACGGGCTGGCGAGGAACTAACTACCTTACAGGCTATGGTCCACAGTCCCGCTGATGGACTGAATCCCCCCCCCTGCCCGGGGGGCAAGCTTATAGTTTAATACGACGAGTTTGGCGCGGTTTCTCTCTCCTCTCAGCCCCGGTGGTTTGTGCCTTATTCGGGATAGCTTGGCAAATCGGCTGGCCTGCTTCCTGGTCCTCCTTGTATGTATCCGTTCGGGCTGAGGAGGGGTGGGATTTCTCATGCAGGCGGTGGGATGTGTGATCGATGAAGAACGGGGTATGATCTACGGTCGATACGCGCTGTACGGGTATCTTTGACGAGAGAGGGATAATCAAGGTTGACCCTGATTCCTGACCCTCGAACGTGCAGTGAAGCTGAAAGTTTGTCACTTTCCCTCCTCCTCGGTGCTCAGTTCTCGCGTGTAGAGCCTATTGCCGAGCTGGTGGGACGGGTAACTGAGTCGACCGAGTTGACCGGATCATGTCAGCGCGCGTGGGAAGGAGTTTCGCGCTTGCTAGTCACCCACTTAGTTTCTCACTGTCTCACTTAGCACTTTCTTCGTGCTCATTTATTATTGCCTGCCGCTACGGTCAAACTGCTTTTTACCTTTTACCTCACAAGGCGTTTCCTCGCCCACGGGCCTCCCCTTTTTCAGCCCCGTTCGTCAGCCACCAACAACGGGCCTAACGACTCCCGGGAAAGCGCGCGTTGAGCGTGGAGAGACAGAGCCAAGAACAGGGCACACAGGGCACACAGGGCTACCAGCGCGGGGGAGAAGGAAGCTTGGCAGGCGTTTAGAGGTTCGAGAAGAGACGCCTTCCTTTCGATGAGGTCCCCTTATCTTTCAGGACAGGATGAAGCAGAAGACGAAGGCATAATAGTCGTCCCCGAATCCCCGTCTTTGGACGTATCGATCCTCCAGCGCTCCGCATCTCATTTGCGGCAAGATTTGAAGGCCGGTGGGCAGCGTAACGTCGTCTCAACGGTGGGGAACTGTTGCATTGCAGACAAAGTGGTTTTGAAGAGAAAAGGCTGGCCAAATCATGTCGCCGAAAAAACGTATGAAATGTTATAGCAAGAGAAAAAGACGATCCTACGTGCGTCCCAACCCTCTCAAACGTGCATTATCCAAGGGAATTTCTTCATGGAAGCGAGCCAGCCAATTGGACGTTTCGACTGTGCTAGTTATACGGGCGAGTGCGATGCGGTTGGCTTGGCGAACGAGCTTGAACTTTTGGGCGAGGAACCTCCCCCTGTAAGTTGCAGGTCAGCGTTCCATCGCAGGGGGTTTGATGGAGGGGAGAGAGTCTGGAAGAGGGCGAAAGGCGAGATGGGTCGGGAGTTCTGGACCCTCTCTCTTCTCGTAGCGCTCGATTCGGTCAATTGTTCGAGCTTGATCGCCGGGCTGTGCCTCCCGTCCGCGTTTCCACCAGACTGGCTGCGGTACGCGACTTGAAGGGGGCAGTTTAATGTCGCTCATGATGTAATATAGCTGGGGTGGCGGGCTTCTCAAAGAATCCAGTTGGGGCCCGCCCGTGGAATCTTGTAAACATATTTGGGAGTTTGATTCCTTGCGTTGTGATAAGTATCACAAGGCAGTTCCTGGAATATTATCTCATTGACTGTCATCCATCCGAAATTTGTGCCAAGCGATGAGTAACAATTCGGGGTGAAGTAAAACTCAAGACGGGCTGATGAGAAGAGCAAATAGTCTGTCAGCCCTTGCAAAGTTTATGTATAATGAAGGTAGATATGACCTTGGAATGTGTCAAGTCTCTCACTTACGCACCCTTGAGCTGGAAAAAAAAACATCAAGCACAACTACGTGGGCGGAGGTAGTGTGCAAAGGTTATGCTACTTGTTCAGTATATTCGTACGTTCGGTCTTCTCTGTCACCAGCCAGAGAATATCTTCAATCCACTCTCTTTGAAACACGTCGATCAAGTACTCATTGTACTCTTGCATTCCGGTCCAGAGCTGGAAGAAATGGTTTCGTGTATCTTGACAAGGATTGAAGATAAGACACCGTTCTTGCCATTGTATCTGCACACAATGCAGCTGGTCTCACTCGGGTGGGTCCCCGAGTTAACGATGTCCCTCGCCCAGACCCGGCGCCGTGATGGGGCCGTCGTATCGGTGTCGGCTCATCGTGGAGCGAGGTCGAGCGCTTCCCAGGGCAGACATCCCGACGTGGAGGTTCGGGCAGTCAAAGTTCAAACACGGTGGTTGCGGCACGGGGCGTCGCCGAGAGCCAGATTCCGCGCCAACTCTATGTACTCGTGGATAAATACCACAGTCGGCGAGCTCTCATCCCACGCAACGCCCATCTCGAACTGCGCGTGTCCACGCTCCCCCCCCCCCCTTTCCCCCCGCATTGCATCGACCTGAGCTACCCAACGTCCAACGACCACCTTGACTCTTCGTTTGGAAAAGTAATACGGACAGATCAGTCTGGCCAATGAAACGTTTACCTTCCATTTAAGTCTGACGACCAGCCAGACCAAGGATGGAGGAGCAACCACAAGCACAAGATCTCAGCGGGCTATCACCAATTTTCCGCAGCGCGTTGCAAGACCTCACCCACGAATGGGGCTTCGTCGTCGTCCGCACCGCTTACGCCGTCGATGATGATGAAGCGCAATGGGCCGTCGCCTTGGAGAAACTGCGAGCCTACGCCGCCCCGGCCGACGACCACCACGCCGAGACGGCCCCGGATACCTTTGCACTGCCCGTCATAGCCAACTACAGCGTCTTGAGCGGCGCCGATTACGCCTCCGTGCGCAAAGCTTTCAATGGGTGGGTTGACAATTTCGTTCGCCGCAAGATGTCGTCATACGACGACGATGATGATAATGATGATGATGATGACGACGACGACGAGGATGGACAGTGGCCGTCCGACGTTCGCCGCGACGTCTTCATTGTCATCGACGAGCCAGCGCTCACTTCGCTTCTCAATGCGCCAGTCTTCACCTTCGGCAAGGCTCCAGACCTCGACCTGGAGCCATGGGTCGTCGCAGTCGACACCAAGGACTCGGCGAGCGTGCCGTACGGTGGGGGAGGGCCGTACATGGGCTTCACGAGGTCTTACGCCCGCGTTCTAGGCCAGCTGTGGGAGGACCTCGGCGCGCGGTCTTTGGCGCGATTGACTCCCGTTCGAGAGTACGACGGCCAGATCCCGCTCTATGACGGTTCTTCGCGGGGTAAGCTCGTCGATCCTGCTGGCGGGCTGGAGTGGCGGTTCAAGTTCCCACGGGGCACGCCGCGAGGAGCGTACGGCGCAAGGGCCATGGTGGAATGATTGAGCGAGCTGTGGGCAGAGCGGATGGTTCAGGGATTTAAATTTTGTCACCAAGGGAACCGGGGGGGGGGGCTGCTGAAGGCTGGATCAAGAGGCTTTGCGACGCAGAGACCGAAACCATCGTTGCGTTCATCATTCTCAATCTGTTAAATCATACGGAGATTGGCAATTGGTATGTTCCATCGGGATAGCGGGTACGGCTCAAGAGTGCCAGACTTCAGTCTTATTGGAGAAGTACGACGATATTGGCCAGTGGCGCAACAGATCCTTGACGGCCAGTTGATCTGCCAAGCAGCTAGGCCATCTCACAAGGTTTCTCCGCCATCTGACTATCCTTTCGGAAGCATGCAATGACTATTTTGAGTTTGAGATACCGCCTTCGACCGTTTCGGGGCCCTTTCAAATTTGCTGTATTGAAGAGCATTGAAGCAACTACCAGCGCCTTAGTGGGCGATGACATGTGACTACAAGACATACTTCCCTCGACTTTGAAAAGCCGCGTACTTTGGCAAGAAATAGTTGACATTGACGCTTCCGAGAGGAGGGACAGGATCCAGTGTTGGGAGAGTTCCTTGTCGTGTCCCACATGTCAACGCCATACATGACAAGTGTGCGAATTGGTCTGTAGACGATGAACGAGCAAAAAAGGACCTCAAAGGACAAGGTGCCAGCGGACATATGGACTCGGTGTTTCTTTCATCGAGCTCTAGTAGAACGGGGGCATGTGATTCCATACTAAAAGCTGTAAATTCTGCCAAGTTATATAAAGGGGGAAAGAGCCCTCAACTCTTCAACTTCTCTAGCAGAGTCTGAGAGAGTCGGAGAGTGTAATTGCAAGCTGTCCTGCTCAATCATACCTCGCCCGTTCATCGACCTGGTCGCAAGAACAAGGTAAACATGGCCAAGAGAAAAACAGTTGGCATTCTCGCGTAGAAAATGTCTACGATTAATGCGGTAACATGAGGGGTAATCTCACCCAAGCCCTTCTTTTCAAAGACCCTGGCCAGTCGCCAGGTCCAAGTAGCAGTGGTCAGGAGCAAATTGCCCCACAGCCATGGTCCTCCCTAGGTAAAGAGGGGTCAGTCATTTCCATTCAGATCTGGGATAAAGGAAGGAGAAAATGGTCTCACTACTGATTGGAATGGCAAACATAGCAGAAGCCCGACGAAGAAGAGCAGGATCTTGACCATGCCATCTGAAGCAAGGTCTTGCGATGCAATGCGTACGTCTCCCGCTCCTGGCAGTCCCAAGACATGATACTGCTTCATAATCGAGATTGATATTTGGATCCCGACGACGCCCAACGCCATCATCCAACCGAGGGCGTGAGAGCCTTGACGTAAGACGAACCAGAAGCTTCGTACTTGCTGCCTTTCTCCGGGCTGGCCCCAGAATAGAAGGCCGAGTTCTCCAACAAGGAACAAACCGCCTGCATGTACCAGTGAGAGGAAGAATCCATCAATAGACTCGAGGTATCCATAGGCGTTATAGTATGGGTTTGGAACGTCACACTTCTGTCGAGCTATCCAAAGAATTGAGCAGGCCTTGCCGATGGACACTGCAAAATCGCTGAGAAACCCAGGATGTGAGCTTCCGATCCATGACTTTCTATTTGGACACCCCAGCCCATGTTTGACATGGCAATGAAACTACCAATTACTCACATGACTAAAAGACGTTCGAGCGCCCAGAGCATTCGTCTTGCTTGTCTGATGTTCTTTTTCTTCTTCCCTATCTCCGCCCAAGAGATATTAAATAGCTTGAAAGCGGAAACTGAGAGTAGAATGAAGTTCATTGTGATTGTCAAAAGTGAAATTCTTTGATAGTGATGCCATAGTTGGGGGTTCCCAGCAGCCAGCGAGGCAACTTTTCCAGCGGCGCATAGTAACGCTGCGTCGGCATCGGAGCTGATAGGCGGATTTGAGTTGTTCATGTTTACAGTCTTATGGGTCTTTCGTATGGTCTGCTCATTTCAATTGTTAAAAGAGAAGGTAATGCTCCTTAGGTAGTTGTATGCTCTGGCCCCTGCGGCCATTTACAAGGGTTTTGGCAGTTGACGTCACCTCGCAGTGCCAATGATGACTTGCATCCTGAAGCCTGCGAACAATGTCACTCTCGTAAAACCCAATCGTGGTTAAGCATGCAAAGTTCTGAGCGCCATTTTCGTGCCTGCGGGACGTGGCCTTCACTTATTGGGTGCGGCGTCTCGAGGACAGGACGAACTTGCCTCACGTGATGGCATAGAAAGGAATGTCGTCAAACAACCGTCCTAAACAAAACTGACCAAGCCTTTGTTTCAACCGAGCTTGGTCTTGGCGCTTTAGCCAAGTGACGCAGACATGCTTAAGTACTTTATTAGCTAACCTCATAACGGACTATGAAGAAGGCCATTGGTTAGGTGCCGGCTCGGTAACAGATTCGGGGTTGTAATCGGAACTCAAATCGTTGATAGACGTACTCTATAGCTCTGGGTTTTGCCTAGGACTATACTCTATTATCTATTCTATAGAATACTCTTCATAGGATACCAGACTAAGTATAAGGAGGCACTCAAGCCCTACCACCATATCATACTGTCACCAAAGGAATTCCGGGCAGGTCGAGACGCTGCTGTGTTAACCTAATAGACTACAAACTCAACGTAAAGAAGGGAGAAGCAGAACAGTGGGCAGAAGCTGGAGCGCTGGCCATTTGGACCGAAGCAGATCGGAAGTTTTGTTTTGCCCTCAAGGCGAGAAAACGGAAGGTTATTATATAAGTGAAGCTGCCAGTCAAATCCCTACCTTATGCTAGGGAGATACGACGGGAAGGTAACTATACCCATGTACATAGAAACCATGTATATTACAGAACAATAAGCTGAATCGAAGTCATGAGATACTTCAAAAGAAAGAAGCCCTCATTCAACCTGCTTCCACATCTTCTCCAGCATACCAACTCTCGCAATGGCCGCTGGTCCCGCCGCCGCAGCTCCAACCTGCTGCATCTGTTGATCCGCCATGGCCGCCTGCGCTAACTGGGCATTTCCATATCCATAACCAACGTAGTTGAAATTGGTAGAGTTCAGGTTTCCTGCTGCACTAAATGTAACTGCTGCCAAACCCAGTGTTTGCGCTTGGCTAAGAGCGTGTTTGGCATTTTGTAGCATTCTATTCATCTCAGGGACGGTTTGGAGATAGATCTGGCGTCGTTGTTGTGCAAAGGCGAGAAAAGAGGCTAGCTGTTGCGTTTGACAGGCTTCTTTGTAGAGTTGGCGCATGCGAGGGGAATAGAGGTCGCAGAGTCGCGATTCAACGACGTGATCTCCTTTCATGACGAAATGCTTCTCCAGAGTGGTTTTCTTGGCCACGAGGATATAACATTCCTCACAGATGTGCACGTCGTCCCATCCCCACCATCTCCGATTCTTAGCGAGATCCCGATCTATCTTGGGACAGTTTGGTGCTGCACTCAGGTCCGTCACCAAGTTGCTAAGTGGTCGATAGTCGTCGATATAGGCTGATTCGGCAAACTTTTGTATCAAAGGCATCGCTCGTGGATAAGAAAAGACATTGAACGAGCAAAGCCGAGTTTCATTGGCCGGGACGTGCTTGGGCTTAAAGAGATGGGTCATACGCATACTCGCGATTGTTCCCGCCATGCAGGCTCCGCAAATGTCGAAGTCGGGAAGATTGTCTTGTAGTGTGTACCAAGCAATACCACTTGCGCCTTGCGGATCACAAGGCTTTTGCTGAGAAAGAGATTGCATCACATACCAGAACATGTTAAACTCGCCGTAACTAACTGCTCGTCCAACGGGGATAAGAACGTTGACCTGGCCCATTGCGCACGTCGTGAGCTGTGTAGTGCTCATGCGAGTTGCTTGAAATGATTGACCCTCTGGGGAATCATGGAAGTAATCCCAGTAGCATGCCTCGCAAACTAAGAAGCCTGAGGGGACGCGGGAGGACCAGAACCAGGTCCTATCTGGTGCAGAGACGGCCTGGGCTCTTGGACACAGTTGTATCTGCAACCTCTTGGAGAATGCGTTGGCAAAAGCGATCCAGTTACCGCTTGCTGAATGAATTTTGAGCATGCGGCGTATGTACCAGAGATTATGGTCGCAATTTGCTTCACCTGGAGGTGAATGTATGCTAAACTTGTTCCCGAAGGAAGTATGCTTGAAATGGTCTTCGTAACAAGGCTTACAAATTGCCAGTCCAGAGTCTGGTCGATCCGTGGGATAATACCATTCTCTACCTTCGAGAGACTTGTCTTCCGGACAGAAGCCAAGCTTGGGTCGAGTGGCCATGAAGTTCAACATGCCATCAAGACTCAGGTTTGCTAAAGCAATCGGCCAGAGATTTTCTTTGACGCGAGGGTTCCCAAAGAAACATTGTCTCCCTACGCTGTCTTCATGCCAAACTGGGTTGAAGACGTCATGGAAAGGTGAGTTGAGAATGTGATCGTGGTAGCAACGATTGCAGATGATGAAATTCGGATAGGCGGGGTGGATGAACCAGTAGAGGGGTAGAGTGAAGGGCATGTCAATGCATTCTGTCACGGGCTGGATTCCTAATGGCATGGGAGTGCAGGCTGCCATATCCGAGTGACCTGGATTGGGGCGATTGTCGGCTTGCCTATTCATTGGTGTGTTTGGAACAGGTAATTCCTCAGGAGACTGTCGATTCTGATAAGAGTATGGTTGATTTTGATGAGGGCGTGGTTGCTGTTGCTGGTATTGCACTGGTTGAGGCGACGCTGTTGGATGCGATCCTGGGAGTTCCGCAGGTCGTGGGGGTGGAGACGGAGGTTGGGGATATCCCTGGTAGCCTTGTTGGGGAGTTGGATACACTAGATAATTGGGACTCTGTTGGTATTGCGGCTGATAGTGCCCGGTGGATTGTTGTTGCTGCTGCTGTTGCTGCTGCTGCTGCTGTTGGGGCTGTTGAAAGTCCTTATTAGCTTGTTTTACTATCTTTTCCGCTCCAGCGAGAAGTTTCGAAAGTCGACCCATTGCAGAATTCGAGGCTTGCTGCAGTTTGAGTATATTCCCTTGAGCGAAGTAGTTCTGACTCACGGTGAGGCCAGCTAATCAGCTGAACACTTATAGTCTTATACGCCCTTCCGTGCCCCACTGGTGTCGTTTCGTGCCGACATTGCCGGTCAAAGAATGTCTTGCTTTCCTTATTTAGGACTGGACTAACTCATTTCGACTGACAGGTATCGCTCGGAACAAGTTTATTGGAGCGGGACTGATTAGAAACTATTTATGCAAGCCTCGTGGGTATGATCTACGTCCACAATGCGTGATTTATCTTAATCACAGCCTCGACGTGAGATGAGCGGCAAGAAATCAGGCGATGAGTTGGGATCGTTTTTTTTATAGAAAAAAAAACCTCAAATCTATTCTAACCTCCTTTCCTCATCTAGATTGGAATGCTTTTGGGTTTTGAATTCATCACCATCGCTCCTCAGGAATGAGCGGAATGCAGTTGGCAACTCTCGCGATCAATAAATATAATACAGAAGATTTACGACCTTCAAACCAAGTGAGCTCATACCGGCCTGTTGATCAAATTGGTTTCCCCTCGTGGCGCTTTGGTCCTCTGTTTGGAGCAACTCGGTGTTGAACCGACGCAGATAAGATTCTTTAGTAGATGCCTGGGATGAACCGCGCTGTAACTCGATTCCACGCAACCCATTTGTCTCCAAACGTCTTCTTGAGCATCTCTTCTTCATCTTTAACCCTCATCATAAGTCTTCGTAGGATTCCAAATGTAAAGACCGAACAACAAACGAGTCCCCATCCACTCAACGCGGACTGCAGGGCGCGAGGAACTAAGCATCCAACCACACCGTCCCAGCGCAGAAACATGGAGAGATTGATGACCATGACAACGATTTGTCCTGTATATCCGGGATGTTGCATGTATCGATACATACCATCCGTGGTCAAAGTGTCGGGGGGTCCAAGCTTGAAGGTGAAGTTGCTTCCGAGTTGAGCAAAGGCAGTAAGTCGCAGGGGACCTCCAATACAGATAATAAGAAACAAGCAGACCGAAGTGTAAGGGTTCCAAGTGAAAAGTCCGTTGTTCAAGTTCTCAGGGTGTAGGCATACGAGACTGTTGTTGTCGCTGTACCCAAGCACGACAAGTGCATGGAAGATGCCAATACTGACAGCCAGCATCCGACGAATTCGCGCTGCAACTGGGCTAGCATAGGTTCCGAGACTATCTTTGTTCCAACCATCGCGCGGAATTTCATTGGGAGCTTTGAAGCAGGACATGGTGATGAGGCTCGACAACAGAACCGCCCCTGCGAAAGAAACTTTTTGTAAAGAATCCATGGAGATGTAGGCGACTGTAAAGTAGGAAAGAGATTAATTCAAAATAATTTTGAGCTTTCTTGACTGGGTGATCAGATTTGATCGATCGTTTACTTCTGCTGGTCTTCTGGATGGTATTAGTATCGGCGGCAGGCGATAAAATCTCCTGATGTGTGATTACGCCCTGCCGCAGGGCTGTGAGTCATATCAAGAGACTATTGATCCGTTCCGACCTTGCCGGTCAAACAATGCCTCAATTTCATTGTTTGGTCCTCGTACTAGCTCGATTCGACTGGTACGAAAGACTAGGATAGAGAGAGACGTATTATAAACCCTGTGTACAGCCTGCTGACCTCGTATATATCGATGTCTGTATATGCGTTATTTATTTCAATGACCAAGCCTACTCTGGGTGATCAGTGCAGAAATCACGTAAGGTAAACCCCACTGACTAAGCAGAGACGTATCTCGTGATGGCTTCAACAATCCGTGACCTCACCCCACGCCACGTGATCTTAGTTACATAATCAGCGAGATCCACCCTCACTTGCACCCTTTATTCCAGAGCGAGCTTCGTATCCATTTTCACCTTCTAATAGATAAATGTTCTCTTTCACTTACGTCGATGCCCATCTTGCGACCATACGACAGCGTACTTTCCCAAGCGTATTATGTTCATTCGCCCACCCTCAAGTCATATATAGCACGGCACCACAAAATGTCAACGAACATCGATAACTCGAACGACCTTACCGTGCACCGTGTAGACAGTGCGGAGGACTTAGAACTGTGGACCCCATCTCTTGTTCGATTACTACAATCATGTGTCAACATCGATCCCGCCTCGTCCTCTATCGGCTTTCGCGCACCTCTCTCTGAGGCGAAGGCTACAGAATATTGGCATTCACTGTCGGCTCAGCTATATGGTTCCCAACCCAACACCACACTGTTTGTCCTGGGCCGTGGTTCGAACGCCATTGGGACAATTCAACTGGTGACTCATGCTAAGGAAACGCACGCGCACAAGGTCGAGATAGGCAAATTGTTGGTCGCCGAAAGCGATAGAGGCCGGGGATTGGGCAGGAAGCTCATGAACGTGGCAGAGAGTTTTGCACAAGACAACTTGGCTAAGAATATGGTGTTGCTAGATACAGCAACAGAAAGCCCCGCGCGGGAGTTCTACTTGAAGCTTGGATACACAGAATGGGGGATCTGTCCACAATATGCTGCGAGCGCTGATGGGCATATACACGAAAGCTCGTTTTTCTATAAGTATCTTAGCATGTAAGCCTCTGAATGCGTAGGCTTTGAACTTACCTATATTGGTATGCCCATACGCCGCTTCATCGGCGCCGGTCACTACACAATTAATGCTTAATATTGACCCACAAGACTTGAAGGGGATAAGCAGCGAGTATATGCCGGTATGTTTCCTCTAGGTTCATTGTCAGTACCGGCTAGTGTGAATTAAATCGGTCTCCTTGAGATGAGCGATGGCAATGAATTGTAAGCGGCGTTATATATGATTGGAGAGTTAAATGCTTGGTTTTCCTAGATAGTGTTATGCTTTCGTTGTTTTGAATGCATAGATAGAGATAATTTTGAGCTTTATATGAGTGAATGCGAGAGGGCTGGTTGTCATAGTGACCTCCGAGTCCCTTCTCCTTTTCTCGTCTATCAAAGATTCGCGGCCCCATCAAACACCCAAATTTCTCACGGGGAGCCACATATTGTTGCAAAAAATATTAATTGAGTAGCGGAACAATAACACGACTGGCTGAAAGAATTCCAGATCTGAGTTTACGAGCCAAGAGTAGTTGTATCAGTTTGACATCGAGATACCTCCCAGGCTATCCACAATTCACTTCTTCAACTGTTCTCCCCCTTAACTTGCCCAAGAAAGAAGACGAAACATCCCTAAACTTAAGTATCTCGTGACATCAAAAGTGGCCGAAGCCGAGCACTTGAAAGCCCTTCTCTCTTCTTACATATTGACAACAAGGCCCATTCCGCCAAGCATGACGCCGAGGGCGACAGCCGCAGTCTCCCTGGGACCAGCATTCTTGCTGTGAGTCGTAGTCGAAGTCGCCTTGGCGGATGCTGAGTTGCTCTTCGTGGCAGCGGCTTTGACGCCGCCCGTCGTCGTACTGGCTTGGGGAGTAGTAGTGGCCTATTAGTAGTAAGGGACATGATTAGTCTACTTTTGTTTTGCTGGAAGGTCAAGATGGATGCAGGAGATTCGGGGGGGAGTCTACCAGGGCGACTGTTGTCATGGCGAGGAGTGCGGCGAGAGAGAAACGCATGTCGGGCTAGGAAGATGGGGATGGGCTGAGGGCGTTATTTGAGGTATGGAAGGTTGATTAGATGAAGTTGTATGTAGTTCTCGGCGGGCTGTATGTTTCTGGAGCTGTGAGAGCATGTAAGGGCTGATTTGAATTTGAAGATAGACTTTGCTCGGGGTCTTATATAAGATATGTAGACAAAGAGAAGTGACAATGTTTTACCGCACTCACGGGCATGACGCAGGTTTACCAAACACAATACTAACCGCATCTAAAAATAAAACCACCAGGGCATCACGACTGTTCAGGGCAATACAAAAAGGGGGCTTTACCGCCGTGCCTGGCAAATGATGAAGGCCGAGATTGACGGCGTGTCTTGTCTCTCCAGGACAGGGACTCCCACCGGAAGTGTCTGCCTAAATCTGCCTGGCCGAATCGGGAAACATCTATATGTTTTTGATGTAGAATTCGAGTTCCAACTAGCCAAGATGGGCCAGGGTTGTATCGATTTGGTGGAGGATATGTGTGGTAATGTGTGAAGCTTGTATGAAGCTTGTTCAAACTGCACGCAAGTTACAGAATGGTAGTTTCTTCGGGGTGGGTCACACAAGGACGATCTAGACCGATTTTGGAAGGGCAGGTGAATGGAAGTCATGCCCCGAGGGGCCCGAACGAGGCGAAGCAGGCTTCGTTTCTGGCTTGCGGCTTCTCGGTTGGAATTACTTGCTTCCCTCGCCATGCGGACTTCCACATCGGCTCAAGATGCCGAACTCAGGGGGGCCCGAGGGAAGGACATGAGATGAAATGCTTAGCCTCAATGATACGAGTTGAGGCAGATGGCTTTCACAAGGGGGCGTGTTGATGGGCCGGTAGATCAAGACAACTATCAGATGACACGGTTAGCGAAGGAGAGCCGGCTTCTCACGCCTCAGGTGCTTCCTTGAAACATTTATTTGGAAACAGGTTGAACGGCGCGAGGAGCTGTATATGGCAACAAAGTGAAACGAGTTCCAGTGATGACGGTTTCCAGTTCAATGTGGTCTGGTCTCTAGACTGAGGTAATGCTTCCTCGGAGAATACTCTGTGTCAGTTGCGGTTGTTGCTCGGACTGTAGTACTACTCCGACAGGTGCCCGGGGCGGGGGCCGCGGGGGGCGCTTCGAAGCTTCTTCGTATAGCTAGGAGTGAACGAACTAGTCCCTCATGCTACCGTTTCGTAGAATGGCGTGCTGCTATATTAAGCATCGCATTCCAGGTCGGTGATTGTCACTTCCCGTCACGTTGCTGAAAGTTGTGGCCTGCTTATCATGGATGTCTTTGATGAAGAACGGTGACTCTTAGTTGCACGGCTCGTTGAGGTAATTGGAGTCTAATTGCACGAGGTTCAGTTTCCCACCACTGCCTCCCTTATGACGAGCAATCGAGGGACTCTATACTTACGAATTGATGATCGATTTCGAATGCATTTTAGTGTGACGGTGATATGAAGTTGAATGGGCAGACGCCACCAATCAAGATTCACGCCTCAACCTCTCGCGCTCAACTTCGCAGGGACAACGTGGACAAGGTCCATTTGGTGTTGAGCAGGAAAAAAAATCGTGGAACGGCTTGCGTGTTTCAAAGAGAGAACCAAGGACATACCGACGGAGTGAGTAGCAGACTTGCGTCCTTGAGAATGACACTCCGTACACCTACACTCGTAGTTCAAATACACCAAGATGGATAAGGCACGCGTATAGAGGTTTGAATTGACTTTCCCCAAACGGACAAGAGCAAGAAAAGGCGAGCGGCGCCAAAAAAAAATCCCCACGCCAAGCTGCCAGGATTCAGGAACAGAACCAACCGGCCGGCCGGGATCGCTCGCATCTGGCTTGTCTTGGCGGCGTTCATCCCACCCGCCAAGGGGGAAACCAAAAAAAAAGAAAAACGTAAATGGCTCAAGCTAAAGAAAGGTAAGGTAAGCAAAGCACGTGAACTTCCCGTCATCTTCGCGCCGTTGTGACCTGTGCCCACCCCCACCAACGTACCTGACCTTAACCACAGAACGCGTCACGTCTATCCGGGATCCTAGCCGCTAATCTTCACTTAAACATCACCACAGTCGCATCGCATCGCGAACTGAAGCAAGCAACGAAACCACCTCCCACCACCGCTCATCAGCCCACCCACTCTCCCCAAAATGTCCGCTCCCGACCAAGACCAGTCACAACCCACGCAATCGATAAAGGAATCATCATCACAGATCCAATCGCAAGACCACGCCGTCCAACACCAACCCGAGACCGAATCGCATCCCGGCGCCGGCGCATCGTCAACATCAACAACACCAGCACCAGGAGCAACCTCACCAACGACAGCGCAAGCGTTGCAACAACCACAAGAACCATCACAGCAAGCGCAAGAAACACTACCACAACAACCGCCCGCCTCACCTCCCCTCCCCCAAAAACACACCCCCGCGACCCCCGGCCCCCGCGCGGGACGCTTCATCCAGCTCTACGACGGCGCCCTCGCCAGCACCCTCCGCAAAGTAAACTACGACAATTTCGCCTCGTGCTTCCCCACCGTTGCCGCCCACGCGCCGAATACCCTGCGCAACGTTCAGAAGCAAATGGTGGATTACCTCGAGGAGAGATGTAACGTATGTTGGTTTTTTGAGCCCCCTCCCTGTCTTTTTCGTGAACTCCTCCACGAAGGGAAGATAAGAAGGAAAGGAACCGCATACTAATGGTTTTCTCACTTCTATAGAAAGACTTTCAATCGATCCTCGCCGACCGCGACGTCATCCGCAAACTAAACGAGTTAGAAAACCTCGTCAGCGACGCAGACCGCAGGAGACAAGAAGGCGGCAGCGACGTCGAAGAACCAATCCCGTTCGTCACACTCCCCCCCCCCCTCCCTCTCTCCCTTCTCGGGCCTCAATACTCTGTAACACCAGAGACACCCAAAACCAACCCCAAGGACTAACACCAGTTACAACAGCCCACACGTCCTCCCCCCCGACGAAATCCTAACGGCCCACCTCGCCCCGCGCCTCGCCCCGCAACAATCGACCCTCAATGCCCGCCTCCAAAATACCCAGGCCTCCAACGAATCCCTCTTCGCCTCCATCCACTCTCAGCGCGCAGAGATCGATGCTCTCTTAGCCCAGCTCGAGAGCCAGGTCGCCGATATCGACGGTGCCAACGCGTTGCTCGTGGACGTTGCGCCCGAGCTGGCGGCCGAGGCGCGGGCTTCCGAGGTGGAGATGGCGGGTATGTGAGGGGTCGGACAGACTGCGATACGCGATCGAGACGAGGGTGAAAAAAGGGGGCAATACGTAACCGGTAAAGGCTGGATTCATGGGGATGTGGTTGTCAAGTAATGTCTGAATACGGCTGTAGACATGGTTGCTCTTCCCTACGCATGAGATACCATTTTGATTTATGTAGGCCGTGGCTCGGCTGAAAACAAAGCCAAGAACTTGCAATTGACCTAGTCCCTTTATGTTTCTTTGCCATCCTGGATCAAACGGCATTCTCACAACGGCCAAAGCTTCACGTTCATTCCGAGTAATGTTGTTAACGTTTAATACATTCAAGTCGACCAGGCTATGCCTCGACCATGACCGATGGGAAGTTTCCTTCAGGGTCCCCCATCGTTGACGAATATGTTCGGTGCCAAGGCTTTCGCGATGCCAACGCTGAATACTCCATGCTACAGAAAAAGCAAAAGGACGATAATGAAATTTGGGGCAGCGAGCATTGCCGCTGCCCTTGACAACTCCGCCCAATGATGATATGCTTGGCGCAAAGCTATGCTCTCGTTCTCTCTCTCTCACCCGCCATAAATGACAAAGGAGACTGAGAACAGGTTGAGAGGAATGGAGATGAAGTAGGAAGGAAAAAAGAAAAGAGCCAACCGAATGCATATGCCGCGCCGTCCCGCCCGATTTTTGTTTTGGCCGCCGTACCGACCGACCGCCCAGCCTCTGGGTAATGTATGGTAAAAATCCGTATCGTCGAATCTTGCGATTCTTCCTCGTGTCAATGCGAAAGAAAGGCCCTCGTCATTGACGAGGGCACGGGGTATTTATATGTGCAATAGAAGTGAGGGAGAAACAACGATCCATCTTAAATCCTTCTGTTTTCCGTGTGGATGACTTGCCAAGGGCCGAAGAAATCAATCTCGCCGTAGGCTGGCGGCAGTACGCGCACCATGCGACCTGTTGCCCAATCCACGAACCATCGTTTTCCCTTGCTGATGATGTAGTTTGACTTTCGGGGGCTCTTGAACAGGAGAACAGAGTAGCAAAGCTTGGCATAAAGCAGATCGTGGGCCGCACTCCATTGATGCTCGGGTGCCCATTTTCCAGTGTCTGGATCGATGGCCTCATTGGGATACGATGTTGTCGACAAGCGGCTGCTGATCAGCTCGTTCCTCCCAGGTCCGGGACCGTAGATAGACTCGCTGTCTAGTACATTGGTCTCGCCGCGCTCGTTGACGACGGCCTGGTGAACGAGACCCTCTATGGTCGAAGATGCTGGGAAGGGATCGGGTGCCTCGGCAGAAGCCACACGGCGGAGTTCAGGACTCAGTGGTCTTGGCGTCGGTACGGGGTAGTTGTTCGTCGGTGCTGGTGTCTGGCCACGGAACCAGCGGATGCGTTGAATGCGGGGGATGCTTTGGTCGCGGGGATAGTCACGATCGTCGATGGGAGCGGCAACATCGATGGCGGCGAAGAGAGCCTCCAACCACCTGACCATCGTGCTCAATTCTATACAGGATAGGAGGAACTGATCCTCCTCGGCCCTGACACGAATGACATATCGCCTCCTAGGTGGGAGTCAGTCTCTTGGCAGGTCTTGGCATGGAATGAGGCTGAGAATCGAGGCAACCTACTTCTTGTAATCGGCAGCAATACCAATATCGGCGTGCTGAAGACTGTACGCTCTGTCGAGAGATGCCTTTCGCACCCATGGCGGATTGTCGGGCGAGATGGTCGGTCCGTCTCTCGTCCTGCCCCATCCCCAATCCTTCTTCACGTTGTAGAAATTCAATGCAGTGCCTCGTAGTTGTACGATAGTGGTGTGCCAATTTCTGTCCTCTGCCCGTTTGGTTGTGTTTTCAATTTCCATCTTCTTCACCCATACGCCCTCCAACTCGATGTCGCACGAATAGCCTGGCAAATCCTCCCCGACTCCATGTTGGGAGTTGACCCTGGGTGCCACCGGCCGTCTTGGTCTAGCATCCCGCTCATATGGTGGCGGCTGTGATGGTCGTCGGAAAGGGGAAGTCATGACTTCCTGGTAGAAATAGTCCTCCTCCATCGATAGTCGCCGCCGGAGAGGCGGCGGCTGCGCTGCGGTATTAGATGGTCCATTTCCGCCGTCCTCGCTGCGGGGATCCATGGGGCAGATGAGGTTTTATATGACAGGAGACGAGTGAGCCGGCAACAGACGAGTCGTGTCAGGCCAGGACCACCATGCGGCGGGTGGCAGCGGAGGCAGAGGCCCGTTCCCGTGCGTCTGTCTCGGACGGATTCCCTGGAACGAGGGATTCACGAGATGTGCTTGGCCCGGGGGTTATGCTGACCCGCAAAACTTCATGGTGAGGGCCTTTTGTCGGCGGCTCTTTCTTAGGGCCGCACGGGGCAGAGTAACGTAAAACAAATGCAAAGGGGTCCTGGGACGAGACCGGTAGATGAGATGAGATCGGGGAGTGGATTAGGTCCAGTCAGGTACGAATGCGTAGGTATGGAGAAAGGACTGGAGACCTCGGTGGTGTGGATGTGTAGGTGTCGTGGTGAGAAGGTGGATGAAGGATGGAGTGATGTGCCGAGAAGCGAGAAAGCGGTGGCAATGGAGCGACGGGTCCAAGTAGTAGGCCTGGTTCCAATGACCGGGAGTAGGAATAGAATCCGGTTCCTGGAGCGAGCGAGGTGCGGTTCGAGACAAGCACGGCGAGCAAGCACAGGAAGCACAGATGGGAGGCGGAGGAGTGGTGGTTGTGGAGGAAGCAGACGAGATGGGATGGAAGGTCAAGGTTGCAACGGGCTGGCGGGAGGAGTGAAGCGAAACGGGAGGCGTCGAGTCATCGGGTGGTGCCAGCGCAAAGAAGAGCCGCTTAACAAGGTTGGACTGAATAGGAAGCCCGATGATGAAAGCAGTACAAGCCGGATATGAGGGAACCGATTCCCGTGCAGGGCCGAAGAAGAGGCGCGAGAGGTTGGAGACGATGTCCAGGACCGCGCAGCAAGGGCAGTTCGTCTGTGTTGAAGGACCAGGGCCGCAAGGGGGACTTGGCTCTGGGGGCGGATCTCATGCGCATCGGACGTCGGGTCAGGCCAGGACAGGGCTCGTTGAAGAGCGGCGGGTGGGAACGTGGTTGCGTAGCTGACAAGGACGGCGTGATATGGCGAAAGAATAGGGTAACAGAAACCAAAGGCGAGTGAAGACCATGTACGGTAATTGGTGTGTTCCTGGGGGGACCACCGCGCGACTTGTGATGATCAGAGAAGGATGGATGGACGGATGGGACCTGGTTGATGGGTGTGGAGGCGTGTGTCGAGCGGAAGTTGAACAGGACCCCAAGCAAGGTTGAGAGAAGTTCAACGGGGTACGGCGTATGTACGGGGTTCACCGTTGGTAGAGGTGAAGTTGAGGTTGCAAAGGGTACGAGTAGAACGGGTGTGTCTTTTTCCCGCTTTCTTTTCGAACTTCAAAAGGTCGAACCAAGTGCGCGCTACAATCGGTCCCTGTCGGGATTTTTGCAGGTATTGGGTGATTCGATAATGGAGAATTGGAGAGTAAAGAGGAGAGATGGAGGCTCGGATTCTGGCCGGGCGGTAGGCGTGGACGTAGTGTATCGATCAGCCAAGGTGCGATTCAATTAATGATCCGAAGGTACGTATCCAGTACCAGGACTCAATGCGATGCTGCAGCGATATCCGTACTTGGTACGCGTACCCTTGATATGTACTTCGGCGCGAGTTGGCAAATGGGCAGACTCTTTGTCGGATTGCTTGGAATGATGATTTGCAGTTTGGCGCTTCTACCGTACAGTTGTAAAGTGTGGTGTTCCATTCAGACAGAGGGTGAGCAGCACAAGCAGCAAGCAGCGGCGGCGGCTAGCAATCGGAAACGCAGGCCATCGGCTTGAGAGGTTGAGGCAGGCGTGGCAGGTCGGCAGAGCAGGGGCAGATGAACGGGGGGGGATGCAAGCGGCAGGGTGGTCGTGAGTCCAGAATAGGGACAAGGAACCGGCCTTGAAGCAAATGGCAGGCAGGGTCGAGTAAGAATTAGGGCGAGTTCGGTGCCGATGATCGTCAAGACGAACACCCACGAGTAATTCCTGAAACCTGAGTGGTGAGTGGCCAGCGGTTCGTCCGTTTGGCAAGCCGCGACCTAACAAAAGTAAGTACCTTACGGAACACTGTGGTAGGGGCAGTGAAGGAAAATAGAAAAGGGCCCTTTGGTGCAAATGAGTGGTGGTCCCCGTCCTGGTCAGAGTGGTGGATTGTGGAAGCAAGAACAGCGCCGAGTGGACCGAGGCCTTTTGTAGACAGGTCTAACCCGTTTGGGGAGGTGAAAGACATGCGGCGACCGGGGTGGCGCGGACTCGAGGTACTTTTTTTCCCCTTGACCTGTGCTAGACTGCTAGTAGACCACCCAGCTTTTTCATCTTTTGACCTTTTGGTGGACGGTATAATGGCAATGCTACCTCCCGTTGTGCCTAGACCCAGCAGCACGGCAGGGTATCTTTGTATTTGGAGACGAGAGGGACAGAGGCTGGGTCTCTCGTAGGTCAACGTCCTCTGGCATTGTCATTTGCATTGCAACCTTGGAGATTGGCCGCCAGAGCATAACCGGCCTTTATAGTACTGTCCGACTCTAACAGTGTCTGCGCGGACGAGAAACAAAAGCAAAACAGAAGAGAGAAGGAAAGTAAGGCAAGAGAAAAGAACAGGTGGTCGGTGAAGACGCAAAGCTCCAAACGTAATGTATCTATCTGATGCAAGGAATGGCGCCTCGTCTCCAACGTTGTAGATTGATGCCGGGCAGGCAAACAAGGACCAGACGGGAAGGAAGTTGATGACCCAAGGTACCAATGCACTTTACCGTACTAATGAAAGTACGTTACCATGGAAAGACGGGAGAGAGAGTTGCAGCGTGAGAAGGCCCGGGTGCCAAATGCTTGAATTCTACCGAATATCAACCTGCCCGCTTGAGCCTTAGCAAAGTAGCGAGGTACCTTGCTCCATATGAAGGAAGGTCTGCAAAAGTTTGAGCGTAAGGCAGGTGCCTACCTTACCTGGCGAATCCCATCCTCCGTTTCACCCTTGGACGAGTTGCCGGCAAAGTATTCGTACCAAATAGAAGCCACGACGGAAGGTCAGCTGAATGGATGCCTTTTCCAATGGCACCAGTTACGGCATTACGGCACAGAAAGGCGGGGGCCCTAGCCCGGCGTGGACCCTCCCTCCGTACCTGCTTCCATTCTCGGTCAGAAGTCTCCCGTCAACTCCCAAACTCCTCAAGTTCCCACCGCTTGAGTCGGGCGCGACCCGACCTTCCTTACCTTACCTTACACTAGCAGGCTAACACTAACAGCGAGACTCATTCCTTCTTTGTAGGTAGCTTAACTCTCTCTACCATGGAGCAGGCAGGTAGCATCCGTCATATTGCACCTGCGCTCATCAAGGTAAAGGCCAGGTCAGGCGTCGCAACTCGGCTTCAACTCCGGCAACAACGTCTCTCTAGCCTTCCAACAGAGGAAGGTAGGCTCTCTAGGGAGGCCCTTTGCATACAATGTCCGCGTCATTCGATAACTGGGATTCCTCGGATATAGACAGAGACGGATCTTGGTCGGCAACTGCCACTTGCTGACGGCTTGTGGAGCACTCGACTCTGGACTCTGGAGCTTCGTAAACCGAGTCCACCTTGGTTTAAGGTAAATTCTAAGGTAAATGTCAAGTGGATCGACGACGTGGGTGCCAGATTTCAGAACGTTACACAGTACACTTACAGTACTCCGTACGCCAGCAAACCAAACACTCCTCACTCTCAGTATCTGTATTCAGGTCGAAAACCGCACTTCGCACAATTGAACAGAACTTGGTAAGACGCTGAGACTTTGCGTACTTCCCAAAAGAATCGTCTGAACAACTACTAAAGAGGTCAATAGGATGCCTCGTACGGGGATAAAACAATGGGATGAACGGGCATGGCCGTCGACATGCCAATGCTAAAACATGTCATACCACACAAACACACACAGTACAAGCACCGATACTTTGTCCCCAACACCGCCCACCCACACACACTTTTTGTCTCGAGACCCAGGCCAACACCAAAGGCCAACACCAGGACGAAACAGGTCAGATATCCGCCACGGTGCCCGAGTCTACCCTCGTCGTCTACTGACCATCCCCCAGTCTCTCTACCGTTCTCTTTGCCCTCCGGCTGCACAATCAAGCATTTCTGCATAATCCATGTCGCCATGCTATCCCCCCAACGTTCGAATTGCCTGTCAATGTCATGGCCTCCCCTTCCATCAATTATACCTCTCTTTCCGCCGCCGCCGCCGTCACCGTTTTTGCTGGCTCGGGAATCCTTGGCTCTGCACTGCAAGTCATTATTAATGGACGTCAATGGAGGGTTAGCACCGCCTAGCATCAGAACGGGAGCGCGGCCAAGCTCGATGCACATGGCGATCCCGTCCTCAAGTGGCTTGGACTCTCGAATCGGCCGAGAGACGGTTGTCTGTGTCCGCAGCTTGAACATCGTCCGCTGAACCGGAGGCAGCCACTGGCGTGTCCTTGAACCTACAACAAAGTGACTGTACCTTACCGCCCACTATACCCGCGTATGCCCACCCGAAACATCGACGGCGGCGGGACACACCAGTGCTGTTTGCTGGCCTGGGCTTCGACAGGAGGAGTGGTGCATAAACGAAACGAGGAACGGCAAATGCCAAGAGCGGCGGCTGGCCCGAACCACCTGCCACCCTCGCGCACACACTCGCCTCTCCTCGCTTGAGCGCTTGTCCTACTACAGTCCACGAGTGCGCAGGGCGGAGTGTCCGTTTGGATGGACGCCAATTATTGGCAAAAGTCCAAAGGATCTTTTGCGAGCGGATCCCACTCAGCCGTTCCCTTTTGCTAACACTAACTCGAACACATCCCCCGGTTCATCGCCTGTCGTTGGTCAGCCACCTGCCAGCCTACAGTACTTTCTCAAGCCAAGCATCAGCCGTGCAAGTATGGGTAGAACAAATCGAACTTTTGCAGACGCGCCTCGTATACTGTGCTGCTGCCTTTTGGAGCAGAGTTTTCGCTTCGGCCCTGATGCCCCAATGGCGCCGTTTCTCATATTGCGATTATCATGCGCAATACGTACGCTCTGCCTCACCACAAATTACAGAACGGAGCACTCTCCGCGACATCCGGCCCATCAGCACAATCGTTGAGCCAGCCGTTGACAGTGGCAGTTTAATACCTACCCCATCCATCACGCCATGCCTGCTGGGATAGGGACCCCCTCCAGATCCCCCCGTTCCCCAGAAAACGCCCTTCGGATCCCCCCCGGCACGCCACGAAGTCAGGTTTTGACTATGGGGGCGCCAGTCGCGACTCGAACGTCGCGCCCTCCGTCTATACCAGCGTTCGATTTTTTCCCACAGATAAACATGGTGCTTTTAGGGCCTGTCAAGCAAATGTCACGTATCACTGATGGCGGACTGGTATGGAGGTATTAGTCTGTTGCAGGCCAGGCCAATACCACCACGCAACACACGCCCCCCGAACCCGGCCGCCCGTTTCTGCTTCTAGCGGCTTCGCCCAATCTCTTGGAATTTTCTTGGAAAGCTTGAGTGGACGCCATTCCCGCACCACAGCTCACGCCCCATCTTCCAGCTGGCTGCCGCTGAATGCTCGCCCTGCCCTGTTTTGCTAGGCCGGCTTCGTTTGTCAACGTGAAGCAATTGTTTCGTTGTCATTGAGGAGACAGGACGTTGATTCTAACGCAAGTTTGCCCATGCCGCTCTACCTCGGAACAGGCAATATTCTAGAAACAACTCGCTGGTCACCAACACCAACGAAATGCAAACTCGAAAGACGTATTCTTTCCTAAACAAGAATCGACGACGGAAATCTCCAAATAATCTCCACTGTCTAGCCGCTCTCCAAAGTGCTGATCTTTGATTATCGCCGGCAGTTCCCTATCTGCCACTTGAACATCTTCATCCTGGCTCTGTGATCATCGGTCAGCAAAACTATTTGCATGCTGGCTAACGGACTGTTGTAACCCCTCGCAAGAACAAGCGCGAAGTCTGGCCACCTGCTCGCGGATTCCCAGCCCACTCATACTTTGGGTTCCGCATGCTACCACTACAAGGATGGAAGCATTGTCCGCATGGAGACGTACAAAGCACTACTTTGAAAGTAGTGATGACAGCATGCCGCTCTGCGACCTAGAACACGCGCGCCGGAGAATAATACAACCCAACGGCAAGATTTCCCCTCTTTAGATTCTCGACGCCCGAGGAAGCTGGGGGGTTGACGGCTAAGACGGCATCTCCTGGACCATTTCTAATCGAGGTCCAGGTACCGACCAACCACACAAAGTTGACGTGACCGCCATCTCAATCGAGAAGGTCGCAAGCAAACAGGGAGGGGGTAAAAAAGAACGGTGGGTGCAAGAGCAAAGACATCTGCAACCGCAGGGCTCGCAACATCCGAGCCGAGCTCGCCGGCAAAAGACCAACAGGAAGATGAGCATCAGCGTGGACAACCTTACCGGCTGGGAAAGCAGCACCGTTTGTCCAAGTGGGCTTTATTCCTTCATCAAGTCGGCGAACCTGACCGCTGCTACAGCAAATCGCTACCAGTCAGTCACCTACGGAGTACATCGTAGTCTTACTGACGTTCTGGGTTGCGAGGGGGAGATCACAAAAATCCCCAGCCTTTACCCCAGTTGGCCGGCCAAGCCCGCAAGCCAAGACTTTGAGCTGCAAGCCTCCGTACACCACTCTAAATACAGTAATCGTAGTCGCTGCCGTACCTTGATGGACAGAATAGAAATACACACGAGATCCGCACATTATGAGAGTGCGTGCGTGGTTGGCAGCCTCCGACTTGTCGCTCACGCATGCTGCTGGCCTTGCTTGGTTGGCAGCTCTTGGGACTCGGGAGTAAGGACATTATTACGTACATCATTCTCGCGAAAAGGAGACTTTCTCTCAGCTCTGTACGACTATTGTGGAGAAGAAATTCGCATACCAACGGCCTACAGTCAGCGCTTCCCAGGGCCTTGGCGACGAGGTTTTGAACTCGAGGGGTTTCAGACAAAAGGGCACACGAACTTTTGGAAATTTCCACATTGGTTCCTTTGTCAGTCAACCCTGCACAACATGTGGTCCGATCACCAAGACAAACTTCCAGACGTGCAACCCGCGCGTCCCATACTCTTGGTGAGAGGCGGGAGGTAATTCCGGGTGCCATTTCTGAATGGAGCCCCCAAGACTTCAATAATGGGTTGGGTTGGTCTTTCTGGAGTCGCACAGGGTTCGTTTGTTTATACGACGTTATTTTCCCCACGTTCTTTTGTAAAGAGGAAACTTTTTTCAAGCCCGTCTAAGCGACTTGGCTAGTTCACCTCCCATTGAGCCTCGACAATCAAATCGAGATGTTTGGGAACATTAGAACACACGACTAAGCTGAGCAGGTAGGTCTAATCCAATGACACCACAACGTGGTCTAGAGCTCCTTCGACTATCGACCGCCTTTTGCAAGCCAGATTGGCTTCTTTGCGCCCTTTCTTTCCTTTTCGCCAATTTTCTCTCTTGGAACCTTTGTAGTTCATAGTCTTACGTGGGGCGCGCTCTCGCTCAGGGGACCGTAATGCGGTCTCCGAGCCTGAATCGGCGAGAGAGAGGTAGAGAAGGCGAGGAAGAGGAGATTTGTCTCGGATGAACCAAGCAAGCGCAAACGAGGCGGACCTCGACGAGGGACTTCGATCACGTCGCTCTCAGCGGTGCCTCCTCTCCTTTTGCGCGTGTTTATAACCTCATCGACCCGCAGCGCGCGAATGACATGCGCCGTGGTACAGGAACCAGAAAGCCCATCGTACTACCGTCGTTCTCGTACTCGCAGTAAGTACAGTCGAACAAAAGGTTCTAGAGCTGCGAGCGATGGGGTCTAGGTTCACCCTTCTCTGGGCGGAACAGACTTGATCTCTCTGCCAGCGTCAACGAGATGGCGACGATGTCGGTTGCCACGTCTCAGCCCAGCATGGATAAGAATGAAGCCGAGTAAAGAGGAAGGTGGATTTCTCTCTAGTGCGCTTTCGATCAAGGCAGTGCCGGTGGGATTTATCTACATACCCGATGAAGAGCCTCTGATAAACTTCGAGACTCGATCTTCGAGGCATATCCCTTACCGTTCTCCCCTGCCTCACATGGTTTCGTAGATCATCTACTCACGCATTCCAATGTTGGCCACGGCCCATCTGAGGAACCACAATATTCATAGGATAGGAGTTAAAGATAAAGCAGGCCATGAACCTCATCGTGTCGGAGTCTTGTTCCAGAAAGAAGACACAAGACGAGAAGAGGTTCGCATAGATGGTGAATTCCAAACCCAGTAGTAGCTTTGCCCCCAAAAGCCACAGCTACAGACAAACTACAATCCAAGAACGGATTCCGGACACGCAAAAAAGAGATGGCGTGCTAAGAGCCTTGAGAAGTTCGATGCCTTTCCATGGAACTCGAAATTCGAAATCGAGCCAACATTCACTTGTCGTAACGTGCTGCCCCTGCTGCTACTCCTACTGATACTGCGTTTGCTGCTGTGATTGTAAGCGAGCGGTATCGTTGCTAAGCTTTGCCTTTCGTCTGTGTAATGTCCCGTGTCCCCTGGTAGAGTTGGCCCGTCCTCGCAACGAAGCGTGAGGAACGAACTTTATGCTTCTTCTCATCGAGTTTGTGATACATGACCTGCTCTCGGATACGTATGCGTGTTTCTTTCTGACGGATCTGGTTTCTTTCTGACGGATCTGGTTTCTTGTGTATGGATGAAGTGTTGGATATAGCGACCCAAACCATGACGAGTAACATTGGTATGGCATCGATTCTTGGGAACGAGATTTATATGTTTCATCTTTTCAAACTTCACGTATCCTCGACTCGACGGCTTTATCCCCCCCTAAAGTCTGCCCTTGATAGCTTTTCATTATGCGGTATCGAGATAGATCATCAGGAAGGGGGGGGGGGGTGGGTTGCCTCTATCATCTCCTGACCTCTATGGGACCTGACTTCTACTGGACGTGACCTTTCCGGGGCTCTCTTCGTGATGATATATGCCGTGAGGCAACTATACATGCAATGAATCACCTCTCTCGACAACTCGCTGTTTTCGAGAAAGAAGAAGAAGACGAAGACGAAAATGTTAACCTCCAAGCCCGGACAGTTCCAACGAAAACCGACGCCCACGAAACCCGTCACAAGCTCACATGTCTCCATGCTCCGTTTCCCAACTCGCCCCCAACCCCAGCTCAGGCGTCAAAATATCGAGTCTCCTATGAAAGTCAGCTAGTCACAATCATCCCATCACCCTCAAAGGAGCCAAGGACTCGGTCTCTATCCCCCACCAGGGTCTTGAGACTCGTGGAAGAAAAAGGATGAGGTCCTTCGATCAACAACAAAAGCAAGACGGAGTCAGGCGTGAGAAGCAGGGAAACCAAACCAGTTCCCTCAGATTTGCGTTTCCTACAGTGCAAGGGCTGGCTGTTGGACATTTGGGAAGAGCCGAGTACACCCCTGCTTCGACGGCATGATTTCGAACTATCAAGTCCATCGTCACCTCTCATCTTCAGTTGAACATGGTCAAGATATAGCAGCATGTCGAGCTTATGTATTAGACAGAAGCCATACCCACAAAGAGAAGCCGAAAGGTCCTGTACCTCACTACACAAATGATATCACTGCATCATTCCCACCATAAACCATTAGTAACTGTCGTCTGTTTCTCATTAAAAGAACCGGGTTACGGATCTTCGGTGTAGTGGTTGTGTGTCTGTGTGTGTGTGTGTGTGTGTGTGTGTCGGTCTTGGTATGGTACAGCATCATCACCCCGATCCCCTTAGGCTTTCCCCCTCCCTTTCCCTCCTTTCCCCATTTCCCCCCTTTCCTTTCCTTTTCTCCCAGAAAGACAAATTCTCTCGGTAAAAGCAATGGGACGCCAAAACTTTTGTTCATGCTGATCCCCCCTTTTCCTCCCAAGTGCTCCCCTTTCCCCTTTGATTCCGTTCCAACTTCGCCCAAATGTACAGGGAACTCCATCCTTGACCGCCATCAAATTTTTGGTTGTGGTAGTGAAGAAGTGAGAAAGAGCAAGCTCAAAACGTTGTTTGCGCTGGGACAAAGGTAATCATCCCCGGGGAGAAGGAGTTGCCTTGCCACGAGCGCGGATGCAAATGCTGGAAAAACGCAAGCGCGCAGAAGAGAAAAAAAGATAAGAAATGAGAAATGAAAAGAATCGTCGGGGGGTGTAAAAGTACAGGAAACGGTGTGTAAATCCACGCCCTTGCCCTGTGAACTCCTTGCAGAAGAAATCAAGGTGACTGTAGCTTTTCTCTCCTTCGTCAGTGATCGTCTGACGACCGTGAGAATATTGTTGGTTTCGGAAGTAGTGAACTCGAGTTTGAACGTCGTGGTGGTCGTGAGTGATAGACATCTTGGTGTAAGGGGTGGTAAATACACGCAAGATAGTGGATGATAGGATCGATACTTCGTGTCGGCATCGCCGGTCAAAAGCTCTTTTAGGCAGATGTGACCTTGAACGGCGCTGCTAGCACATGACTGTCCTGCTTTAAGCAGCAGTCTGGGAAGCACCACGGCCACGGACGCTGCCGCGGCCACGGGCCTGACCACCGGTGAAGTTACCGCGGCCACCTCCCTGACTGCCGGAGCGGTTTCCTCCTTCGAAACCACCACGGCCACGGCCACCGCCGGTGGCGTTGCCGCGGGGGGTGTTGGAGGAGTAGCTGCTACCGCCGTAGGCATTGGCCTTGGGGCGACGAGGCTCGACGATAATGTTCTCGCCGTTAACGGTGTGGGGGTTGGCAGCGGCAGCGGCCTGGTAGCCGGCAACAGTGGCGAACTCGACAAACGCGCAGTTCTATTCAATCATTAGCCTGCCACTCAACATCATTCAGGGCACTTGATATCTTACCTTCTGGCGGTTGATGTCGAAGTAGGTTAGCTCGCCGTGGGCAGCCAGAGCACCCTTGAGGTCCTCGGCCTTGACCTTGTCAGTCACGTACTTAACGTATCCCAAGGTGCCGTAGTTCTCGGTGGGTGCCTGGGAGATGGACTGGGGGCGGTTCTGGCGCTTGGAGTCGGCTCCGACGGACTGCCACTCAGCGGAGGGAGAGTCCTCCTTGGCGGCCTGGGCCTGAGCCTCCTTAGCGGGGGCATCGGCAGCGGGTGCAGCCTCCTTGGCGGGAGCGGCGGCGGCGGGAGCAGCAGGGGCAGGAGCCTTGGCCTGGCCAGCGGGAGGAGTGGCGGTCTTGGGAAGGGGCACGACAGGCTTAGGTCCGACGGCGGCGGCAGCACGGCTGGCCCAAGACATGGGCTTCATCGGGACGGGCGCGGGGGCGACCTTGGGCTTCTCGGATTCGGCGGCGGCGGGAGCCTTGGTGGGAGCGACAGGGGTGGGAGAGGGGTCGGCAGGCTTCTCGGGCTCGGTGACGTCCTCCTCGGCAATCTCCTTCGCAGCGGC